TATCACCCTTTATTAAAAGGAACACTTTCAGAACTCTCAGAACGAGTAATGATATTTATATATTATTGTGTACAAATTGATAATGAGAGAGAGAGAGGAAAAAAATTAGTCAGTTCATATAATCAACATCATCTATATGTACACAATGATGTACAAATAGCATTACTCCTCAAAATTTGTTGGTACAAAACGCAAAAGTCCATTTACGAATTGAAATTAACTTCTCAAATCCATGGCACACAATTCTTCTCCCTGGTAATTCTCTTAGAAATTTGACAGCAATCAGGATGTGTGTCAGGGGAGATGACGAAGAGAGCCATCTCCATATAAAGGGACATATATTAATAAATTTTAATTACATTATAGATACACTCATCATATTACACGCAGTGGAACTATAAATCACTCCTTGATTATTTGTTGACTTAAATATTGAGTCGTAAAATACAGACCTGCATAGCTAATCTATGCTTCGCCGGTGTTGGGACCTATTCTATGCCACTTGCAATGCTTCTTCCCGCTTGATGTCAAAAACCTTGATGAGGGCATCTTCAACAACCTGACCACGAGCAAATTTTACAGATAAAAAAGTCATCTTATAGCCTGTTTAAATCTCAAGCTTTTTGATGATGTACTAGAGCGTGTTTGACTAAGCATAAAAAGGGTAAACTTACTGTTAATTAATTCTTTTGCCAAGCATGATTTAGCTTTTTCATGAACTCTTCAGTCCATCAAAAAACTTGGTTTTTAAAAATAAGTCCTCATTAACTAACTTTCCACAAAAGGCTTAGCCAAACATGCTTTCAAGTCATTGGGATGGATTTAATCATTTGAGTTCTGTGGTCTGATATTCTGGATAACTATTGTGAACAGATCATGATAAAAGTCACATTATTTAACCAATATTGAGTTGTTCGGATGTGTACACATTTGTGCAAGTGCGCATTGCAGAGAGCCACCGAAGTTTACAGTTCCAAATATCTTGCAGGTAAAATTGTAGTGATGTGAAAAGTAAGGATAGAAAAAAGGACGAATAGCTGGGCAGAATTACCTTATCAGGGGTGGACGCACCAGATGTTACACCTATTGTGATAGGACCCTCTGGTAGCCAGTTCTCTTTCTCTACCAACTCCCCATGCTGTTAAATGCAACATGTAGATGATCAGAAAATGTTTGCTGACTCAGATTTAGCTTCATAATAGAAAATGTTTACATGCACATACCATCAACTTGTAACTAATTCTGTTCCCAGGACCTATTCTCTTCTCACTGTCGATCCAATAGGATGGAATTCCACGAGCCTCTGCAATTTCTTGTAGGTGTGAAGTGTTACTCGAGTTCCACCCACCAACCACTAGCATGAGATCCATCTGTTCATCAACCAGCTTATACATGGCATCTTGCCGCTCCTGAATGCAAGAAGGTTTGGCTTAAATAAGAGGATGATGCCTTAAGAGTCAATCACAAAATACAACAGGTTAAGTATTGGTAGCAATCAAACATCACGGGAGATCTTTTTCTCTCTATTGGTGGGAAACATGAACTTCAATTCATTCATTATTTTATCGCTATTATCTTCTTCTCCTCTACGAGGAGTCCTAATTATATCAAGAAAATATTAAACTAAGCGAATTTGGAAAACGATGTCAGAAAGGGAATTTACTTGAGTTGCATCACAAATAGTATTGAAACTTATGAAGTGATTGTTAATATTTTCCACTCCGTACTTGCGCATCAGGGATCTCTCAACTAATTTTCCTGTAGAAAGAAAAAAGAAGCTAAAATCAATATAAGAAGCATATTTCAAATAGTACAAGAAAGGTATCGCACGTTAGCAACTAACCAATCTCCTCAGTTTCTCCCTTCAACATTGTTGTTTGATTTGCAATACCAACTTTTACAAGATCGGTATCTGGATCAAATCCTTTGGATACAGCATATTTAAATTTCTGCAAACAAACAAATGACATGAACTTCCAGTGTTACAAGTCTTAAAGTAAAGAATGTAAGCTATTTGTCCTGCACCTCAAGAAAAGCTTCTTTGGTAGAGCTGGATCCATCAAGTTCACCACCCAGAATGTAATCGCAAACATATGTTGCCTGCATTCAAGGATAAATCATTGTAATGCCTGCTTATTTTTAGCTACTGCCAACAATGGATGCTTGTTACTAAGCAGAAAAGTAAAAACAAAAAATACAAAGCAGTGCATCAGACATACCTCTGCCATGTTCTTTACAATTATATATGTCCCTGCAAAAGAAGCAGTTGCTACAGTCTCTTCATGAGAATATTTGCCGTGAATAATTGAAGTGTACTCTCCCTTCTTGTGCTTTTCAACAGTATTCCATACCTACACAACAAAATTATAAGAAATAAAAATGTAGATCGTCAGTAGGGGGCGTAAAGCATGAATATAATCACATATAGTCACAATTGAATGTGTCAAGTGGAAAAATACCTTTGATACCCATGGGCAAGTTGTATCAACTATTTGCACGTTCTTGTCATTCAAAAGCAACATCTCATCCACAGCAGCTCCAAAAGCAGGCAGCATAACCACATCGCCCTTATTAACAACATCAAAATTTTTTTTCCCATCCTCAACAGGAAGGTTTTTAACTTCCATCTCATCAAGCCTCTGGTAAGTAGAAAGTAAAGTATCTAATCAGTATCATTAGTCGAGTTTGTTTCTTCCCACAAATGATTAAGTAGTCGCACTTAAACACATAGGTCTCTTATTCAGCACAAATTGAACTTGTCTAATGCAAAATTTAAGTTTACTATTTACCAGGTACAACATGTAAACAGTAGATATATATGCATTTCGTAAAAGCCACACACCCAAAACTGTTTCTGAAAACAATATCCTCTATAACCACGTGATAGATCCTCACTCACATGTTCGATGCGTGTGGTTATATGAAATAAAAATATACATATTGACTAAAAGGAAGCTTTAACAGATAAATAAAAAACCCTGAAGCCAATATCACTAGAAGAAAATATGCAGAACAAATCTAAACGCTCCAAATAAAAGTGACTGAACAACCAATAGATTGAGAAAAGGAACAAATGGACAACATTTGAACTCTGCCTGTGACTATTAACTACTTCCAAATAAAGTCGAAATTTGAATGAAAGATAAAATAATGACTGCAGGAACGGATACCTTATTAACAGTGGGGTTATGAATAATTTCATTGGTGATCCAAATCTTCTCAGTTGGGAATTGTTTTCTTGCTTCATAAGCAATCTGGACCGCCCGCTCGACCCCCCAACAAAAGCCATATGCTTCTGCAAGCTTTACTGTTACATTTCCCCAGGTGTATACATACTCATTCTCCTTCAATTTCTTTATAATGTCACCTGTAATTTTCCATACTACCATCAATTCAAAAAAATAAAAAAGAATAAACAGAATTTAACACAAGATCACGCATACCGAGCTGCACAAAGAATTATGTGAGAGAGTGAGAAAATAAAACTGCAAATAAGACTCTAGAATACCAGTTAGGCATCAAATCAATATCTCAAAATTATCTAGAGCCCGTTAATCTTGAACAAATGTGTATATAATGCAAAGATTAAGACAACTTATGAATCAAGTACATATTTCACTACATACACATATTATGTGCACATAAAGTGGAGAATTAAATGCCCTGTTTAATAATAAAAAGCCTAAATAAGAAAACTTCAAGGAAAAAAATCAACAAATTTGTATCATTGAAGAGACAATTTTCAATTGCACAGGGAAAACAGAGAAATATAAAGCAACTACTAGTCTACCAATGAAATTCAAAAATCAATTCCGAACTAATCCTCTTTTCCACCAAAACAGTTCAGAAAAAAAGCAAACAAATAGCAAAAAATTTCAGAAAACATACTTGTGTACTCGCGGTTCATGAGCTCGAGAGTCTCCTTTTTGTGTCCAAACCCTTTGCGATTGTAATTCTTGCTCCTAGTCAAGTTGTGCCGGAACACCTTAGCGTCAAACTCCGACTCCACGGTAGCCGACGAGGATGATGCAGCTTCTCCGGCTGCGGAACATCGAACGTAGCAAGATTTCCGGCACCAAAAAAGTCGTGTCTCCGGCAAAGAGAAGCCCGGTCCGGTGGAGATACGAGAAAATTGCAGCGAGATGGCCATGTGTGGTCCTAGATGCGTGAAGAGTGTGACTGAGAGGTAACGTTAGAATTTGTATTTGGCGTAATATGGTTTCGTGTGCCAGGTGCGCAATTTATCTCTAGCGGCACTCGTGATCCTCGTTTTATTGTATGTACATATTTTTTTCCTCCACCAATATTCATAATTAAACCTACCCTCACTTTTTTTTTTTTTTTTCAAATTCATTTTTTTTCACAAATTTCATAGACCCATAAATTTTATCAATTCGTCGATTACAAATTTTACTAACTTTTATCAAAATCTACTGAAAATCTAATTTTTTATCCAAATCAAACATTGCTTAAATTTTGTTTGGTGAAACCGTGAAAGTAATACTTGGTTTTTCATTTCTAGTCGAAAACTAGTATCGTTAATTTTAGAAGCTACCAATATTTGAAACGTGCTTGTTTGAGTGTTAGTTCGAACGAATTGTTTATTTGAGTTTAATGAACTCTGATATCGTATTGAAATTCATGATACCATTTTAAAATATTAATCTCGTTCGTTAAAAAAATAAATCCAAGACGTAATCAAATTCATGTTTGACAAAGTCTTTTGTGTCATAATTCCTCAAAAAAATTGTTGATATATTTAATTAATTCTTAAATACAGTCATTTTCCATTGGGTGTTGATGATACAAATTAATGAAGAGGAGTTGAAGTCATGATCAAATAAGTTCAAGCGGGTCAAACTCAGTTTGGCCACTATAGAGTAGACACCATACACCTTGACAATTGTGGGGCTTATATAAAGGGTGGTTGGTATTTTTTTTAATTATTAACTTTTTTTTTCTCACTATCATTCTGGCTCCTTTTTGTAGCTCATATATCGCCCCGTTTGAAACCCAATTCTCCAAAAAAAAAAAAAAAAAAAAAATTTTAAAATTCATTTCCAACCGCACATTGTGTCAACGACCGAAATTTTCCTATTTTTTAATTACATATTATACAAAAATCACTATTCTAAAACACAT